CGTTCAAACGTTCGATGTACCTAAAAGGATGGCTGCTTTGAGTGTCAGACGGAGCATCGCACTCGTGACTTCCGACGGAACTCGTCTTTCATCATATGACGTCACAATTCTTCTAAAAGGAGACATTCCAACCCTTTAGAGCACAATTAACATAGTTTGAACTGTGTTTTTTGGTCAGCGTTCTTGTAGTGAACTTCATCCAACTTCATACAGGCTTACGAACGGCAGTAGCTAAAGAGGGGCACAGGGCAGAATTTTTATGATCAATACTCTGTAGTTGAAATAGTTTTCATTCAACTAGTTCATAATGCATGTCTGAATTGAAGTTGTTTCCTTGTATTAAATCACAACAAACATATGCTATACAATCAGCCTATATTAAACATTTCAGTTGATTTTTATCAACCTGAATGTCGGACACACACATACTTACATTTAATATGTTAATAGATGTTCTATTTTACTGACGAATACTCAGCTTACCACATTTTAGAAAAATCTAAGGTTTGTCATGTAATGAATTCAAGCAATTTTTCACAAAATTCTCAAGATTGTGAAGTGAGGGAATGAATTTATTAACTAAATGGGGATCACTGGCATTTGGCTGAATTCATAAACATTCACATCATCTATTTCGTGGAGGCACCACAGTGTTCCAGTTCTTATCTATAATAATTCAATAAAGTTTCTTCATTTTCGATTCCAAATATTTTTAATTTTCTCAACTCATTCAGGATTCCTGAATAAAGTAACTATGTACTGTTATCTCAGCGATCTCAGATGCATCACTTTTCTCTCTATACAAGGCAAAATGTTCAACAGTTTATTGTTAAACACAGTGAAGGACTTCGTAGACGCTAAACTTCGAGATCAACAGGCTAGATTCTGTAAGGATTGATCGTGGACCGGCCAAATCGCAACATTACGGATCATTGTGGAACAATCAATTGAAATGAATAAACCGCTCCACATCATCTGTATCAACTACACCAAAAATACTCTGGACTGCTTTTAACACCATAGCGTGCCTTCTAGTGTCAAGTAAGTTTGCTCTCTCTGGCCTCTCGGTTATCGACTGGATTGTGAAGAAATCATCATTCAAAGGGAAACACAGTATTCAGTGAACTGTCAGGATGCAGTTGGTCTAACGCGGCTTAGCAGATGATCTGGATATTCCATTGAACATGCGAACGCTAATGCAAATAATGCAGCCCCACCAGCAGCACATCTCATCATACACAAAGGGAAATGCAAGTTTATTCATTCAGGATGTCGATGCCTTGCATGATGTAAATTGCTTCGCAGATATATAGGCACTTTTCAAGTTTGCATCTCCAGTATTTTAGTTACGTTCCATCGGTAATGATTCAAAATATTTTTAATTTTTCAGGTCACTCAGTTGCCTTCTCTTTGAAAAGTAAGTAATCAACGCCTTATATAAGCAAATGATAAAACCGTTAAACTGCTATTTGCCTAGCTTGAAACTACAAATTACTATCAATCATAAGGACCTAATGTAAAATCACTCATTACTGAATGTATGATGAGAGCCACTAAATAACCTAATAGGTACTCCTTGCGAATTCGTGAGAAAAGAGTTCTCACGAGAAATGGATATAGTGAACTAATCACATTGTCAGAATTCACTACCGACATTCGCATAAACTTCAGTTGTTTTATACTGAAGACTTGATTATCCAACGGTTTCTTTCACTGTCTAAATGAAAAATACGTGTTACTGTTTGTGGCTGATTTATAAATAATCATACTCTCTAACCACAACCTAAAACATTATATATATAATGTTTTAGGTTGTGGTTAGAGAGTATGATTATTTATAATCAGCCACAAACAGTAACACGTATTTTTCATTTAGACAGTGAAAGAAACCGTTTGATAATCAAGTCTTCAGTTTAAAACAACTGAAGTTTATGCGAATGTCGGTAATGAATTCTGACAATGTGATTAGTTCACTATATCCATTTCTCGTGAGAACTCTTTTCTCACCAATTCGCAAGGAGTACCTATTAGGTTATTTAGTGGCTCTCATCATACATTCAGTAATGAGTAATTTTACATTAGGTTCTTATGCTTGGTAGTAATTTGTAGTTTCAAGCTAGGCAAATAGCAGTTTAACGGTTTTATCATTTGCATATATAAGGTGTTGATTACTTATTTTTCAGAGAGAAGGTAACTGAGTGACCTGAAAAAATATTTTGAATCATAAACGATGAAACGTAACTGAATTACTGGAGATGCGAACTTGAAAAGTGCCAGTATAAATCTGCGAAGCAATTTACATCATGCAAGGCATCGACATCCTGAATGAATAAACTTGCATTTCCCTTTGTGTATGATGAGATGTGCTGCTGGTGGGGCTGCATTATTTGCATTAGTGTTTGCATGTTCCATAGTATATCCAGATCATCTGCTAAGCCGCGATAGACCAACTGCATCCTGACAGTTCACTGAATACTGTGTTTCCCTTTGAATGATGATTTCTTCACAATCCAGTCGATAACCGAGAGGCCAGAGAGGGCAAACTTACTTGACACTAGAAGGCACGCTATAGTGTTAAAAACACGCCAGAGTATTTTTGATGTAGTTGATAGAGACGATGTAAAGCGGTTTATTCATTTCAATTGATTGTTCCACAATGATCCCTTATGTTGCTCATTGGCCGGTCTACGATCAATCCTTACAGAATCTAGCCTGTTGATCTCGAAGTTTAGCGTCTACGAAGTCCTTCACTGTGTTTAACAATAAACTGTTGAACATTTTGCCTTGTATAGAGAGAAAAGTGATGCATCTGAGATCGCTGAGATAACAGTACATAGTTACTTTGATCAGGAATCCTGAATGAGTTGAGAAAATTAAAAATATTTGGAATCGAAAATGAAGAAACTTTATTGAATTATTATAGATAAGAACTGGAACACTGTGGTGCCTCCACGAAATAGATGATGTGAATGTTTATGAATTCAGCCAAATGCCAGTGATCCCCATTTAGTTAATAAATTCATTCCCTCACTTCACAATCTTGAGACTTTTGTAAACATTGCCCAAATTCATTGTATGACACACCTGACATTTTTCTAAAATTTGGTAACCTGAGTATTCGTCAGTATAATAGAACATCTCTCAACATATTAAATGTAAGTAAGTGTGTGTCCGACATTCAGGTTGATAAAAATTAACTGAAATGTTTAATATTGGCTGATTGTATAGCATATCTTTTTGTGATTTAATACAAGGAAACAACTTCATTTCAGACATGCACTATGAACTAGTTGAATGAAAACTATTTCAACTACAGAGTATTGATCATAAAAATTCCGCCTGGTGCCCCTCTTTAGCTACTGCCGTTCGTAAGCCTGTATGAAGTTGGATGAAGTTCACAGTTCAAACAATGTTAACTGTGCTCTGAAGGTTGGAATGTCTTCTTTCAGAAGAATTGTGACGTCATATGATGAAAGACGAGTTCCGTCGGAAGTCACGAGTGCGATGCTCCGTCTGACACTCAAAGCAGCCATCCTTTTAGGTACATCGAACGTTTGAACGTATTGGCAGACTGGAAGACTGTTCCAAGTTCCAGCAGAAATAAAAAGATGCAACCAGTATGTACTTGGTCGCAGGTAGGACAACTGCGACTGGCTTCAGGGGAACAGCTCTAATAATCCGGTCATGAAGAATAAACTACTTCATATACACAAGGAATTTTGCACTGATGCTTTCCAGAAAAGCCCAAAGGACACTTATAGGATGGCAATCTGGTGGCCACAGGGTCACTTAAGGCTACCACACAAACGGTATTTCAGCGAATCACATCATTTGAAACCAAATGGACATTGTATGTATCAATAAAATTGTTTGAAGAACCGTGGAGGATATGAGGAGCAAGAGCGTTGCTAATCGAGCCTCAGATGAATACTGGTTGTTTGCCAAAATGAAATTAAAAACCCGAGAAACACTGGAAAACAGGGCGGACTACATCAGGAAAGTTTAATGCGTCGTTTCTTTGCGATACCGTAAAACTCAACGAATTCAAGATAGCCCTCATCAATAGGCCTTATTCGATCTACTCAGTGCAGAAGAAACTGTGATGCAGAAATAATTGAAAGGGATCAAACATGCAATCAGTTCAAGATGTCAGGCAGTTCTAGGACACAAGAACTACCACCACAAGGAATGGATTTCTGTTGGTACTCTTGAAAAACTTGAAGAAGGGGGAACAAGAAGAATGCAATATACATCGGTTGAACAAGATTGAAAAATGCTAAGACACAAGCAAAATACACAGACGCAAACACGCAAGATGAATGTTTTCTCATATAATCAAGAATTATGTTTTTGATGCGTTGAGTTACCTTAGGATTAGAAGTATTGAATATTTTCATGTTATCTTGTTCGAACTTTGATTTGATATTAAAAAATATGTTGTTGGCTATAGTTTTTTCAATGTTCCTTGATCAGATAAAATAACATAAGTTTGACAAATAATTTTATTTCAGTTTATCAACTTCGATAATCAGCATTTGTGAATGCAAATAATGTTGCTTGAAGATCTAAATGAAGGTTTGTGTTAATATATCGTTACATTTTTCATGATCATGATGAACAGTAAGCATATTTCGCTAGTTGATTCGCTGAATTCAATCACTTTGCTTCAAATGAATGGGTTTATTATTTGTGTAATTCTTCAGTCGCATACTTATCAGTATGTTATTACGGAAGATATGAATTATGTGACTTGCATTGGTACCGTTCATAGGATTTTTACACAAAAAGCTACTCTCAAATCGTGAGCGCTAAGGTTTTTGTTTTCATATGGTGTCTAGATACATAGGAAGCGACACCTGTAATTAAAACTCATGAACGCAGTATCATTTAACAATATCTAGTCGCGCGTTGGTATTCTCAGTTACTCCCAACTTGGATGAGTAAATTTGTATAAACGTTATACACAAATACAGCATTTGTATGTGATGCTGTTATGTTAGTGTGGTGTTTGAATGAACTAGTAACTTCTTGTTGTTGTTGAATGCTTGATTTCGAATTCTGAATACAATACATTCGTTTGTGCATACCTTTAATTCTTGATTCATATACTTCTAAGTATCACAGTGGCGTCGCGAGCAGGATCTTGTAATGGAACAGCTAGATATTCATTCTACTTCTGAAGCTTTTGAAGATTATTTGGAAAGGTTTGAAATCTGGAGTATGACCAGGAAAGATGTCAAAGATGATAAAATTGTGGCTCATTTCCTAACATTCATCGGAAAAGAAGCGTACAGCTTATTGAAAACCTTGGCATATCCAGAAAAACCTATTTCACTTCCCTATGCAATGCTTAAGGAGTTATTATTGAATCATGTAAAGTGCCCTGGTTTTGAATGCCGTGAAAGAGCGAAATTTCATAAGATGATTCGTCAAAATGACCAAAATGTTAAGGAATTCATTTTTGAATTGCAGAAACAGGCTGTCAAATGTAATTGTGGTGATCAACTTCATGTGCAGCTGAGAGACCGATTAATTGCAGGAATTAACATACCTAGTTTGGAAAGAGAGCTGTTAAGAATGTCAAACTGTTCCTTTCAAGATGTTAGAACTGCGTGCATTAACTACGAGGCGTTGAATGAACTTGATATTCAGTCGATGAAGATTTCCAATACTTTGATTAGTTATCATGATGAAAAGCAATCTCAGGGTCAATCAAAATTGTGTCCGTTTAACAGAGGTTCCTATTCTCGTGTAAAAATGAACGGTGTCTCAAAAAAGAATTACAAAGGAAATCAAAAAGGTGAGACCAAGTTTGGCAAATGTTTATCATGTGGAAAACTTCATTCTCGTTATTATTGTACATTTCGTAATGCTAAATGTTTTAGATGTGGTAAGATAGGACACATTCAAGCAGTATGCAAAGCTACTGTTCATTTTGCCTCAAGTAGTACTAAATCTTGTAATTTAGATCCCAATAATTCAGCTGATCCTAATGATCATTTATCTTTGTCTACCATTTCGAAAGGTAATGCTCATATTCAAAAGCGACTATATACATCGCTTGGTTCATTTCATGACTTTATTGTGGACACAGGTAGTATAGAGTCCATTATTTCATTCAAGAACCTGAAATCGTTAGATCCGAACGTTGTGATACGACCCACTGAAGTATCAATATTGGGGATTACTGGACACAAACTGCCTATACGAGGATGTTGTGAATTGCTAATAAGAGATGATAATTCCTCATATATACCTTGTGAATTTTTAGTTAGTGAAACAGGACTGTCAATACTGGGTTTAAAGAATTTGAGAAGACTTAAAGTGGAGTTGTCTTTCCTAGTTTCTAAAGAAAATTCTGATGCTTTACTTAAAGATTTGGTAGCCACGTGTGCTAAGTGCGATGGAAGTATGAAAATGGTTCAGCACGGGAGTGCCAAGCAAATTCAACATGTTGACTACATTTCTCGACAGTCATTAAATGCAGATATTTGTCGTACAGCAAAGAATTGCGAAAAGTGTCATAAGCTGAAAAATCAGCATTCGAGGTTGAGTGATTCTATTGCCGCCTCAACATTTAATTAGCTGGAGAGGGGAGTAGATACCTTTCTACTGCAATATAGAAATGCCAGACATTCGGTGACGAAAGAGACTCCATCAAAACTATTAAAAGGAAGAATTCTTCGGTCGAATATGAGTTGTTTGGAGTCTGCGGAAGTTACATATTATCGTGGCAATGATCTTCGACCATCCACGGGGATGGTTCTGAAGAATGTCGGGAAATCTATGGTGCGACTTCTAGATATCAATGACTTAAGTACATACAATCGACATGTTGATAAAATACAATTCCAAGAACCAGGTGAGTCTGTTCCAATTTCGGTTGTTAATTCTAATACTAATGAGAGCATTCTAGATAATACAGAGCCTTTATCCAATACACTGTCGGACAGACACAGGATGAATTTGAGAAGAAGACGTACAACTGATTACAGACATATACATTCCAATTTAAGCTGTGGCGGATGTGGTGTTTGAATGAACTAGTAACTTCTTGTTTTTGTGAAATGCTTGATTTCGAATTCTGAATACAATACACTCGTTTGTGCAGATCTTTAATTCTTCATTCATATACTTCTAAATATCACAGTTAGATTATATTGATGCTATTATATTTTCAATAGTTATATAATGTTACGTCACATCACATGTTTTAAATTGTCAGTCCGTTCGAATTATGAAGTAGCATAAGCTGAGATTTCCTGATAACCAGCATAGATCAAGTCACTGTTTCGATTGAAAAATAATTGAATAACTATTCATGAGTGCTGATTCACACTTTTACATACTTTTACATCATAACCAAATAATCTGTTCTTTTTCACATAATCTTCTGTACAAGGATTACGGGTTAACTACAGCGAAATGCGACCGAAACATAACTTCAAAATGATGAGTACATATTTCAAGTCAGTTAGGCTGAATATTTCAGACCGCACACAATTTATAGTGAAAGTAAGCACAGTTGATATTGTTTATTTTACAATGAAGGTGTTTTCAACCAATATTTTTCAAATCTTTTTATCAATGTTGATGACTGCATTAGTTTTTACTAGGTATGCCCATTGTTTAGGAACCGAAACATTTAATTAAACTGATTATAGTGTTTCAGTGAAAAAATCATTGTTGGAGGAATATTGGGTTGTCATCATTTTAGGGTAAGTAAAATTGTTTTGCATGAATAGCGCGCTTGAGTTTGGTTTTTATATCAAATCCATAATTTTGGAAACTGTTATTCCATTTGGATCGTCGTAAATTTGTTTAGTGAATACAGAAAATCAATATTTCCTATTTTGAATAGTCGTCTTCTGTTTATGTAGTAGACAATAAAAAAGCGTTATCATTACATTAGGATAAGATTGAACTTTTTTCACGTGTGCTTTTATGTTCAAATTACTCTGTTGTTCATAAATGAAGTGTGCTTATTAGTTCATTTTGAATACCAGTGATAGTTGCATGAGAGATAGAAGGCGACTATTTTGTATGTTGTCTTTTGAATAACAAAGACAATATAATGTGTACAGATTACAAGTCAGTTAGGATGAATAACTGGAGACGCAATCAAATTTAAGTGGAAGTAAATGTTGTTGAAATTGTTTATTTTTCAATTAAGGTGAGTTTAATTTATTATTTTTCACTGCTAATTATTGCAAAGGTCTCACCTACAAGTATGTATTACAAATATTCTTTGCAGTACTGAACGTTAAAGTGAGTCTTATTCAAAGACGAAGTAAAGGCGTAAATTTTATTATGGGTTACTTAGCTTCATTACATAACATGTTGTTTGTGATGATTTCGAAATTTCCAGATACTTATGCTAGTAAATTGTTCAAATTTATTTTCTAAGCTGTAGTGAGCGTTTTGCTATCATAATTGATTCGATTCTCTACATTTTGTATTGCAGTGTTATTTCTATGGTTGCACTAATCGTAGCATTCGTTGTTCAGCGATTTCCACATTTGCGATTACTCACGGATTTGTCGTACATACTCTTCGTAAGTTGTATCCGATAATAATGAATGAATGTGTTCACATTCTTCTGTTGAAAACCATGAACATTTGATTTTGTATTACTTATCACACGTTTGTGGCAGACATTACGTAAACAGACTTGTGAATAAATAAAAATGTAGACATATCTCTGTTGCCTGTGTTGACATAATCATCGAACATCTAGTATCTTTCAGGATTTCTGCTTAGGTCAGTCACGCAATAATCATGGATGTCTCTGATTTCTAAACAGTGTTCTTGAGTCGCAAATAGTGTGCTTGACAGTCGTTATGAAATGAATAGGAATATATTTGAAATTATGAAAGGCTGAATATTTTATCAACGATAAATGTTTATCGAAGTATCTGTCCTACCTGAGAGAATCATTACTGTTGGTGAATAGTGAAAAGAAGAATATGATACTGGTCGAGAATTCAGATCACTTCCTTAAATATTGTGATCAATAGAGAAGCAGACAAAACAATTTTTTCGTCAAACGTTGTATTGGAAAACTGTTAATATTCATGTCATTTAAAGTTTATTCAATATAGATTTTCTGTCATTTCTTAAGTTGATATCTAAACAAATGAATTATTCAAAATCACTTAGAACCTAAACGTTTAAGTTTTGTCTACCATCCATGCTAAGACACCTTTTTAGTTTTATGTTGACTGATCATAGAAACTCTGTCAAATAACGACAAACCTGATAAATGACATGGCTGATCAAAAGATCTGTTGGTTTTACTTCAAGACTTTCAGCTTTGCTGGTGTGACGATGTGTCTTTCAATCAGCCAGTATGGAAAGTTCATATTTATCAGTTGGATGATGGCGATCATTCTATCAGTGATTCTGTTTATAGTTGGAATAAAAATGAAAGTGGATTTGGTCAATTATTTCTGGCCAATTTTGATTTATGCTGCTTGTGTCATTCTTGCTATGGTTGTATTAGAAATCGTATGGGTTGTTAAAATTAATGAAGTGAGTTTGAATAAGTTTTTCGTTTAATAATTTTAACAATGTCGCTTAAGTTGGCAGGCAATCATTTCTGTAGGTTGCATATTCTAACGTGCGCAATTTATTGTAATTCTGAGTATCTGATTTGTAGAATATCGGTATGAATAAATTCAGATTTCAGAAGTGAAATGTTTGATGTGTCTTGTTATTTATGTTCAAAGGTTGATCATCATACTTGCCGACTAGATGCTACAGTAAACAGTCAAATGTTTTGCAATAAATTGAATTCAACAAAATGAGCTAGGGTTTGTCGTTTCTATAGGGATATCAGCAGTGATTGTTCTTTTGTTTGCTTTCATGGTGTATATCATACAAATTTTGTTTATTCACCTATGACCAAACAGGTTGACCTTGCATTTACTAGTTTGCTGATTTGTTTGCTTTTCATTATTTTGTCAAAGCAACTAGCCAAACTTATTAGTCAGTCAGTCAATCAGCAGCATTGAAGAATTCCGTATGTACGAACATCCGTGTAAGCAGTCATATCATGATAGCACTGAGACGCAATCGCTGACTCAGATTCCATAGTAGTAGTAGAGATTGCAGAAGTAAGAGCAGTAATGTGAAAGATCGCGATCCGAAGATATTATTGAAGTAGTAAAATTCCGAAAGCTAAATTTGAGAAAAAAAGGAAGGTTTTCAGGAATTCAGAAGACTGGAATTCTAGAGACCATAATGAATGGATGAACCCTCGCCGATGTAGACGATTTCGAGTCATTTTATAAAAAATTCTCAAACCATCAGTAACTATCAGGTAGACAACACCGACCAAAGTAACTCAGTTTAGTTGACACTGACTGCAAGGATTGATGCCATGTTTTGGTTCGGCCTCCACTAGCTTTCTTCCAGATTATTACTATATCACGTAAGGTTGCCCGTCAAGCCAGTTGGTGGTTGGGCATACGCAACACACTGATGAAAATTCACTTCTTCACATATTGATCTTCCATTTAGTTCTAGTAGCTGATTCTTAACACAAGGATTGTTTGGAGTAATGATTCTTTATCTACACTTGTACTACTTCAATATAACGTTTGATTTGACAGTATTTGAAAATGTAAATTAGTTTCTGTAGTTTCAGAAAATGACACATTCTGGGTTGTTTTGATTCGAATTTCTTATTCGTTGAACAATAGCATTGCCAATGTTTTTTTATTTCGTAATGAAACATATCCGAGTTGTATCGAATGAAATGTGACATAAATGAATTTGATATCACCTTTTATAATCAGTGGTGATTAGTAGATTACTGACTGCTAAAAATTTGTATTCCCTTTTATTAAATCGTTTCAGTTTAATTTGAAGTTGACATGGGCGATGAGTGCGTTGATTTTAGCCTTGGTGATTCCTGTAAGTATATGGTTATAATGCCTAATCATACTTCTTCATTACAAAAGTATGAATGAAATAGTTAGATTTATACCATATTATATCAGCTAAATATAAGTATATCACGGTTTATTCAGTGTGCACAGTTAATATTTTTCCCATCGGAAATTTCAGCCTACATTAATGAGAATGCTCAGATAATTTGAATTCGTAATAATCTAATCCTTAATTTTACTTTGGATTTAGAAACACAGGCAATATGTTAAATGTGTGAAATTCAAATTGTTTGGTGAACATCGAATACTCTTGTATGAAACTCTCATGTTATCAATCGTTACGTATATTACCTGAGAAATGTGCCATTTTGTTGATACAGTATACTATGGGCTAGCAATAGTAGTAAGGTGTGTCGACTTGAAAAAAATTTATCTAACTGTTTGAATAGCTTAGGGTTTAATTTAAATTTATGATCAAAATAGTAATCACAATGATAATGAATAATACGTTTAGGCGTTTATTTATCATTGACTGTAGATATCAAGTAAGACTTCAGAATACCAACACTTACATGTAGCACAATTTGTTGATGAACTCTCAAAATGTATAACGTACTATTCCAGTCCGTGATTCTCGGCTTCTTTTAGATATTTGCATACTATTTCATTGTATCATACTCAAATGCTATAATAATAAATATTCAATCTAAGGTTACATCTTATAAATTTCAACTCAAATAGTAAAGCATGTAAGCATCACTCAAATTTTCATAATTTAGTCACATCTAATACAAAATTATACAACAATAGACTAATAAATAATCAGTTTCGAATGTTTTGAACATGTTTCCGACTCTTTTCATTGTGACTTCAGGCCAGCTTGATTGAAGCTCAAATACTTTGTGGAGGAAGGAGAATATATTACAGACCTGAAGACTACATTCTTGCATCGACAATTCATTTGTTTCTGCTGACTTTCTTATATTCTGGATTTATTTTTCTGTTTATGAACGTGAGACGGTCGTAATAAACACAATGTATTTTTTCATGCAATGTTTCTACTAACAGTTGTGTACTTTGATATTGCAGTGAATGATGAAAAATATGATATTCTG